ACTAGATCCAAAATTTGATCCGTGCACCAGCGATGATGCTGCCGCTATGTTATCGTTGTTGCATGCAACTGCATTGCAACGGCCAAGAACCTACGACGTGGTCAGTACCACGACGACTAATTGCATTGCACGGAAGCGGTGTGCACCACCGCACACAACGGTGTTGCAACAACAATTAGAGAGGTGGAAAATTAAGGCAATGCATAAAGAGAGAAGAGAGAGTGTGTGCAGCAAACTCAAGCGCCATTTAGCGACGATGGGTTTGCCACTCACAGTGGCTATTCTATGGCACAGGAGAGACAATGGAGAAGTGACGAAGAGGAAGGAGATTTAGGTTTAGAATAGGGAAAGGGGTGACGAGTTTGCTAGGTAATGGGTAAGTTTGTGACTTTTCTAATTTTATTAGTTTATTATTAATATTTAAAAAATGTATTATCATCTGATTTTTAAACCAAAAAAAACGTAAATTCTTAACTTTGAATTGAGAATTTAAAAACTAGGGAGTGCTGTAATTTCCTCTTTTTCTATTTCTAGCCCTCGTTTGGTTCTATTTTTCAAGCCAAAAAATCAATTTTTTGATCGTTATTTAATATGGTCAGTTGTCATTTTTGACTTCTTCACTACAGGTGGGACCCCTTTTTCCTCAATGGTCCAAAAATTGATTCTAAGAATCAGTACCAATCATGCCCCTAATTTTCGATCCAACCCCAAGCCTAACTTAATCAAATTGACCTAAATTTATCTAAATTTCTTATTCTAATGTAGTTTCATTTCTTCCGTTTTAAAGAAATCGAATTGGAAGCTTGTTTGCACCGTTCTTCATTATTGTGAGCTCACTATTTTCCTCTTCTATGATTGTTTTTAACAGCTCGCTATTTTATTCGAAGTAGGCTCCCCTCAATGTGAGGGGGTGGACATCTTGATGTACAAATGGAATAACCCATTTAACAAAGAGAAGCGCAAAATATATCATGGTATTAGATTACGTTATTTTGTAAGAATTAAAAATGAACATGTTATAAGTTGAATTAATATAACGTTATCGTAAATATTAAAAAAAATTAATTATTGTATGGAAATCGGGAACCGATTGAAATTGAACCGAACTCGAATGGTTCCATAATTAAATTTAGACTCAACGTTCCACTTACTAAATACTCGAAAATTCAATTCGATTCGATTTTAAAGAAAACCAAACCGAATTGGATTATGTCCTGCCTTAATATAGGTTATTTTTGTATTTAAATTAGTAAGGGTACTGAAACAAATTGGCATTCCCATTAGGTTATGAGTCATTTTGTTGGTCAAATTTCAATTAAGAAAATTATTTATCTTGACAATTATTATTAAAATAAATAAATTTTTAATTCGACTTACGTCTACGACAATGAGGACTATATCGATAAATATTATATTACTCTAATTAAACAGTCATTAATCATTAATGTCGTTTTCCCTTGTAAACAACAATAGTTAATATCAATGATTTTATGTGAGATATGACTACTAGATTATTGTAAATAAATAGATATTAAACGATGTTAACAAAATTAGCACTACATGAATAAATAAACAATAAATGATGATAAGAATAATCACATGTGGGAATTGGAATCTATTAGGGGTGAAAAGTGGGGTGAGCCACTCATCTGCTCGTTAAAATGAATGAACAAGTTATTTTAGTACAAAATAAAATTGGCAAGTCACGAGCGAAGTCCAGACCTGCTTGTGCTCGACTCTCCCCACAGGCGAGTGCAGACCGGCCCTTCGACATGCCGAGTCAAGCACGATAGTAGGCAAGTCGAGTGGCTAAGCTTGCCCTACTTCTCATCCCTACGTGTTTAAAAATGATGTCAGACTCTACTAATATATAAATAAATACGTTATCATCATAATTACACAATAATTAATCATTATCAAGTTATAATTTCTTTATACTAACAATGATGATAACCATGGAAATAATATATTTCTCAGTAAATAATTAATTTCGTCTATAGTAAACTCTTAGACGGCATATTCTTGGTCAAAGAAGTTTGTGGAAAATTTTAAGTCGATCCTTCAAATATCTTTCGCATTCATTTATTCACTAATATTAATTATACTATACCATCGGTTGCTAAATTACTTTTGAATCATTCTGTCATAAAGTTAATTAATATTACAATATTGATCACCTTGCTAGAAAAATAATGTCCAATATAACATGATATCCTTAAATTATTGACAGGTATAAATCATGAGGCACTAATTGTGGTATGAGCAAATGTTGCATTTGGAATATTCTAACGAAATAGAAATATCTATTAAAGAAAACTTGAGACATCGTAGTAAATTTCAATAAACATCATTCATTCTATTCGTTTTGAGAAAACTCGGAGAGAATAAATTTGAGAATGAAACGTTAATTATGTTTGAGTTGAACTTTCTTTATATTATTCTTTTATTTTTTTTGCACTAGAACTCTGAAAAAGGAACTTGGGGCACATGCTTCAGTAACATTGTGTCCAATGGTGTAACATTAATTAATTTTAGTAACTAAATAAGTTAAAAAAATATATTTAAGACCAATTTAAAATTTTGAAGAAACTTTAGTGACCATTTACAAAATTAATTAATCTATTTTGGTGACATATACATTGTGACGTTAGCTAATTAGGATTCATTGGTGCGGGTGTAATCCTTCCTAGCATGAATTTATGACCACAAATGTAATCCAAATGAAATAAAAAACATTTAGTGGCCGTTCAATAATTATTTTTATCCTCTCGACCTCATAAATGTTGTCTAGTGATTTTGGCATTGTCCACACTTATACGCACTTTGAAAGAAGAAGAAATCTCTGTGAAGAAAAAGTACATGACGAGGTTTTCTACGCAGGAGAGATGACGCCCGTCGGCTATGGCAAAATTTGTCGTTCATCGGCATCGTATCTCCTGCATAGATGGACGTCTTCTCTCCTACGTAGAAAACCTTGTTTGTGCAATGAAAATGGAATGATTTTTTATTCTTAGGTTCCTCTTCCAACATTGCAATATTATTGAAGAGATTTTCATCATGTTTGCAGCTTACTTTCTGCTGAAAATATGACGTAAGAGGTTGGCATTTTGTCTCTCTTTCTCTTCGAAGTTCTTACTTGTCATTGATTTTTCTATGACTTATTGCAGCAAAATGGATTGGGAAACATAGATTCAGCATGAAAAAATCACTCTTGACGGTCTAATATTGCGTGTTTACTATGATTAATGCTATTTACAGCCGTTCACTACCGTAATCGCTCCACATGACATGTATGTGATGGTTAGTTCTTCTACGTGATTTTTTAGCCTAGTTCTTTATTTAGCGCTTGTTTGATGCAACTAATAAATTAGACTATTATTGAAAGTTGATACTTTAAAATTGGAGGATTCTACTAAAATATTCAGCCATATTATCCCTTCAATAAATGCGCCTTGACACAATTTGAGAAACTGATTTTGGCATTCACACTTTTGACCTACCTTGAAAGATGATAAGACCATTTTACCCTTGTTTATTTCCCAACTATCTAAAATAATTGGTGCTACAACATCAATTAAGGAATTATTCACCCATTAAATGGTGTGTCATGTCACTGGTGCTTAATATAAGCTAAGCATCGGTGTTTAGGAGATTATTTTCGTTAATTTAAGTACCACTAAGTGGTAAACTCGATGAAAAGATAAAACTATGTGATTTATTTAATCATACATCTTATTTAGTATCACATTAGTTTAATCTAAATTGATATTTTAATACCAATGATGTTAAATAACATTATCCTTTCCTTGCACATATCCCCCAAACCCTTCACGTTCCCAAATGTTGATATGTTTGGGATACTTCATGCATAAGAAAATTGCTTTATGAGATGAGAGCCAAGAAATAAAAATTTTCCATAATTACTCTTCAAACCAACTGTAAATCTACTTTCTCTTAAAAGACGCGGCAAGGGTTCACTGTTCATTCTTGTCACACTCATTTTCACACTTATCTTGTTTATACTGTTCACTAACTGGCTCATTGAATCTCATAAAGTGTTGTTACTGTCTCTCTCTCTCTCTTTCTCTCACTTGATACGTGCTTTCGACTCTCTACACCAAACCAAACCCTAAGCTAATCTCCTCTCCTTACGCACACATGTATGTATGTTACATACACAAGACTTATTGTGATCTTATATAATTTTGGAGAAGTACAACTCTGAAAGGGTTCTCGATACACCCATTACTCAGGTTGCTTTTTGTGATCTTATATAATTTTCTAAGTTGAGCTGGAAATTTCTACTCCTTTAACCATTGAAGAATGTTATAGGCTGGATTTGCTGGAATTGGCATTGGTTTAGCTTACTGTGTTCTGAGGCCTATCACTGAGTTCATGACTTTCAACTTCTCAATGCAGGTCAGAGTTCTTTTCCTAGGCTTTTATGCTTAAGAACTTCTTTTCGACTCTCATGTTCGGTTTCTTTTCTATTATATTTTAGATAGTTAAATTACCATTGCTTTACCAATTGTAAAGATGAAGAACTTGGACATTTATACAATACTTATCATTCTAAGATTATCTGAAAGATTGCTTGTCTGATCTGAGGACCGCTATCATCATCTTCATATTTGAAATAAATTTCTAGAAAAGAAATGTCATGGAGGTAATAACTAACTATTTCTTGCAAGCCATCGACCACATTATAAACTTAACTGTAAAATCAAACTATGTGTCTATCGATCAATAATCATGCTTGGGGTACATTGTGGTATCCAACATGGTGTCCAAAATGGACACCAGGCACCTCGGACACCACAATGTACTAAGAGCATTATCCATCGATCAAATATCAGTGCCTATTGTTATCAGAGGCCCAAAAGAGAGGATGGGGATTCGCTATTTATTTGTGCACTCTCTTTTTCACACTTAAAACTGGTTTCTCCACTGTTCACAAATTGGTTCTGTACTGTTCATAAGTAAATATTCCTCTAAATAAATATCTCACCAATTAGAACCCTAATTCATTTTGCTCAATCTTCAGCACTGCAGCCCGTTAGACTCTCCCGCGTCCTCGCCCATTGCCATCTCTCATCCAGCCCGTTAGTGTTTAATTAAATTATGTATCTATAGTATGTTTTTTGTTTCATCTTCTTGCTGTTATTCGTTTTTCAAAAAGTTGACATCAAATACGAAGAGAACACTGAAAGTTCCGATGTTAATGAAGTTAAGGAGATTATATTGCCTCCTACTCCTACGATAGCCAAACCTCCCGCTGAAGATGAACAATCGGAATCAATTATTAAAATGATTTAGCTATGTTTCTAACATAAATCAAAGGCTAATAAATGGTAAACCTTTTTGGCTTTTTTCTTCAGCCTGACCTAGAAAAGCGCCAGGATGTTTGTGCCTTCCAATGCTAGAATCATTGGATTCAAAAATCTTCTCCCATTTGCATTCACAGGTGGAAGTTGACTTTAGAAATCTTTACATGCATTAAACCTTCATCAATAACATCAGTTGCAATGATAGAGCTAACTTATTTCAATATAGAACAAATGCTGTTGATATTAATTTGTTTTTCAACTCAGTTCTTGTCTATTCATACGAGCCTCCCTATGAGGATTCTGGTCCTACAAATGTCCACTTAGATCTCAAGATCCAAACAAGCCATGGACATATAAGTCTGATAATTTGTATAAACTGCATTATAAAATAATATTTATTGAAATTGAGAAATTTTTAATTTTTGTTTTTTACATTATAAAAGCAAAGTTTTTCTTCATCTTGGGTAAGTTTTTGAAATGCTTATGTGTGAATTTGAAATATAAATATTATAATATGAATAGGGTGCTTTTTGAGTTGGATTTGGAAACTTGAAGAGATTGGGCCTATAGACCCTTCTTTGAATCCTACAAATTCGACATGCTTGAGAAAAGCTGATCTTCTATTTGTCGTAAGCATTTAATTTTTCATATATCCATAAAATTATAATATCTTGGTTTTTTTACTTGTTTTTCTATTTTTTTCTTATAAGATAATCTTGGTGGGGCTGGATATAGCTTTATGGAGCAGAATGATAATATCTGTTTGATAGAACTGATGTAGAAGCTGCAAATGATTTAACTACATTGTTAACAATTTTTAATATAGATGAGAGCCTCCAAAAGAGTGCACTTTATTTAGTCCTATGGAGGAAAATTTGCTGTCACTCTTGGATTATCAGTGCTAAAGGCTATAGAGGCAGTAAAACTAAAGCACAATTTTGAAGGTAATCATCATTTTTTTCTCATTCTTGAATCTTAGGTTGATGAAGTTCAGATACAGATGTGAAAGAAGGATCAAATTTAATTCTTGAATTTAATAAATTGCTGAGTTCTTAAATTTTGGTGACGTGTTTGGCACGAAGAAATGAACTGTTGGATTTGTGTGTCAGGCATCAAGGAAGAGGGAAGTTGCTGGCCTTGTGGTTGATATAATACGCCAAAAAGAAGATGGGTGGACGTGCATTATTACTTGTTAGTCCTCTTGATACTGGGAAAATAGATCTCGTCCTTGGAATATCCCAAGAAATTATTGTGAGGTTGTGTTGGATGTACTATTTCCTATTTCTTGTCATCAGTGTCTTTCTTCATTCTACCTCTGTTTTGCTGTGTGCATAAATATTGTCTGTTATTGAAAATATTAGCTTTGATTTTATTATTGATGTTTGGATTTTTTTAACTTTTATATTATTTATATTATGAAGGTTCCGTTTTGCCCAACTGGTGAAACTAATTGTCTTATGTTTTAACTTAGAATATAAAGAATCTTTATGATGAATCAGTCCTCTTGATACTGGGAAAATTGCTCCCGCCCTTGGAATATCCCAAGAAATTATAGTAAGGTTGTGTTGGATGTACTATTTCTTATTTCTTGTCATCATTGTCTTTCTTCATTCTACCTCTGTTTTGCTTTGTGCATAAATATTGTCTGTTATTGAAAATATTAGCTTTGATTTTATTATTGATGTTTGGATTTCTTTAACTTTTACATTATGAAGGTTCCGTTTTGCCCAACTGGTGAAACTAATTGTCTTATGTTTTAACTTAGAATATAAAGAATCTTTATGATGAATGCCAAATAGATTCTGAATTAGAAATCAAAAATTAAAGTTGAGTCATAACAGTGAAAATCTATGAAACATCAGTGTTTGTTTCAAAAGGAAAACTAGTGGAAAAAGGAAGTCTAGAGAAGGGCTATTTTTCTTAGTGAAATCAATACCTTTTGTTGTGCTTAGCTTACGCTCTAAAACTTCTTGAAAGAATTTCCATGCTCCCCCAAAATATCAATCAAAGAGCTGAAATTTTATTGTCTTTTATATTTGCTTTTTCTCATTTCTTCTTTGAACAATAGAAATCCAATTAGATGTTTGAAGTTTCAACAAGATATTGACCAACAAGTTTCACGGAGGCATCGTATTTTTCTGTAGGCCTTAGAAATTACTGCAATAAGCTCTAGATCCCACAATGTAATTTGTACAGAAAAATCTGTGTGGGGTAAAATTTATTTGCAGTCAGAATGCGTACAAATATTTTTGGAGATAAGCCTAAAACATTTTGAATCACAATTAATTACCCATCTCGATATGTGCATCAAATGCTAGGCAACAGAGTTATAAATTTGCATTTCTCTTTGCAACCATTCATGTTTGTATTATACATATGATTCACGGAGATTAATGTGCAATTATTCTCTTTTACAGTTTTAGACAAATCATTTGAAAAAGAGATTAGAGTCATCAATTTGAATCTAATGGCAACGGAGGTCAGGGTTCTTTGTTCCTAAAATCAGTTGTCGTTTTTTAGTATTGAGGTCTATATTCAAGTTTATTTGACCAACACATAATGAAGAAGCCAAAGATTAAGCAGCAATGACAACTCTTTTGACACTATTGCACCTATTGCTGGATTCTTCCTTCTATTGCAGCCTCCCAAATTCATAATATGCCTCAACCAAATAAGATAGTATGCTTGGACGGCGGCATTAGGGTAGGAAACCCAAATCTTTGAAGGTTACTACTTATGGATTGTGCCTTTGAGCTTTTTGCTTGCTGATATTTACGTCAATATCTTCATCTTGCAAATTGAAGGGTTGAATATCGGGTGAATGGTGAACTTGATGCTTGTCCAAATTTATTTTGTAGGCACGTTAATATTACCTTAAAAATAACAAAGTCGCAAAGACTAGTTATTTAATAAAAGTCCCACATATCAACTAAAATAATAATAATAATAATAATAATAATAATAATAATTTTTGGCAAAAAGACTACTACAAACATGCTCTTAATTACATACTACCTTCATCCCATAAAAATAAATTTAATTTCCCATTGCGTATGTCTCAAATTATAGACTACTTTCCTTAATAAGTTTAAATACTTTAAATTTCTTATATGTCCCCATTTAATATACCTGGTTATCAACAAGAATAAACTAATCATATTTAAAGAATTATTTAATGTTTAAGTATATTACAAAAAATATTAGAAAAAAGTTCATTTTAAACTATATTAATTACATTTTATTAATTAGTTTGAAAGTAAAAACAAGTCTATATTTATGGGACACAGGTAGCATCTTTTATCAATGGCCAACTGTTGAACTTTTGTCCACTTCAATATAATTTTGAATTATGTGGTCTTAAATTTCAAATGTCTAATACACATAATGGAGTGACAGTAAAAGCTTCAATCAATTTTCACGAAGGTACGATTAAAAGAAGAATGATAAACAGACAGGTAAAAAAACAGGGAAGAAAAAAAAACAGACTGATGTATCTGCAAATTGTTGGGTGTTTTTTTATTTTTCATTTTTTGAACACTCCTATCATGCATCGACACATATACAGCCTATTTTTAACCCTGTTTCTGTAGCATCTTTCATGATTAGAAACCAGCTCTCCTGGATGATGCAAGGGATTCCTGAACAAAAACCGGTTAAAAATCAAGAATGCGTCTAAATGTGTCTCCATTCTGCACCAGAGAAATTCCATGACAAGATGCATGGACCTCGTTCAGGCTAACTTATCTCACTCTTCAGTTTCTTGGTCGAGGACAGGAAGAATGGCCAAGGCTGAAGAACCAAGATGCATGCCTCTCACTATCCCACCATAACTGATCTTAATCTTGTAGCACAGAAGCAAGATGGAGTCCCAGAGTGCTGTTCGTCCCTACAAATAAGAACCAACAATGGCAAGGGAATAATTCAAACAGAAAATACCGTTGATTCAGCAATAACTGGGTTTGCAAATATTATACCAACTAGGGAAATGATTTTAGTATATGAAAGTGAAAAAACGACACTAACTACAGTTTATGCAAAAAACAGCTCCAGAAACTTGAAAAGATAAGTCACATTATAGACTGGGATAACAACAAAGCGAAAAACATGGAAGAATCAATGAAAAGATGAGACTAATAGGATTTCTTCTTGTTTTCATTTTTAATTCCTTTATCACGTACTATATTTCTTTTCTACATTTGGGGTTCCCTGGTGGCTGTAGATAGAAAATTGTCTATTTAAGCACGGACAACACACTTGCAACATTTATGGTACACTTGAAGGAAGACGAGAAAAACTTATACCACTTGCTTCATATTTTATCAGCCAATAATTTTCTATGAATTTGATTCAGATATATTCTCAAATATGGACGCAAAAATGGCCTCCAAGTCAGTATGATGGAAAAAATGATGGTACAGTCACACATACATCATATATGCATGGATGAATTACTTTCTTTTTAACTTGCTAGAGTGCCTCTTCGTGTAATCATATTGGAAACCAACATAAATAATCAGTGCGATGCAGGTTGATATTCTATCCCCTACATAATTATTACCTGGAGAGAGAACTGAGGCTTTTTGTCCCAGTATAAAGCAAATACAGGGGGGCTTTGCTTCCCAACGCTCAAAGTACACGCACCTGGATGCAGCACAGAAGGGACACCAGATACAATAGCTATATACTTCTCAGGATATCTTTCTTTAGGAGGAAGAATGCCCAAAAATAAAGGGTTTTTGCTTGACTGGGCCCCAGCATAAGCTGTAGGATCAACATGCAGCATCCAGTTTGGGTATTCCAGAAAAGCACAAAATAGATACAGAAGCAGACAAGAATCACTTGGGAGTTCGAAAGTCCATTTCTTATTTAATTTGTCATAGACCTCTCCACTTCCAAGATACTCGTAGTTCTTTAAACAAGTTCCTTCAGCAAGCTCTGTAATTAGATCAAGAAGTCCATGACCACGAATTGTCATTCAATTTTAAAATAGATTAACTATGAGGGCATATCAAGATAAAATTACCGCGAATCCTCTGTACAGTATAATCTGCCCGAACACTACTTTGTGGTAGCAATCCTTTAACACACTCTCCTTTCATCAAGGCATGGAGTCTCTGATGTTCAGTAATGGCATCGATACCCTCTTGTAAAATAGGGATGAAGGCATTCTGCTGAACAGATTGTTGGAAATTGCTCAAAGGCAACTTTGCTGAAAATAAGAATAGTATCAATTTACATAATAAGTTTTCACTCAATACTTATCTTGCATTACGCAAATAGGAATAACGATTGACCTGATACAACTTACGCATACAAGTATCAAGAGCTTGAACAAGAGTAGCACGCAGCTGATGAAGAAGTCCATCTTCGTCAACAGCAATTGCTGGGGGCCATTCTCCAGTTCTCTCAATTGGAGATACAGTAGTAGGTGGGGTGTCACTTCCAACTTGACTGATTGTAATTGTGATACCGAGTTTGGCAGCCGCGTCCATGACCTGCTGCCACATTTTTTTTTTTTTTGGGGGGGGGGGGGGGGGGGGGTTAGGGGGATCTGGTGGGGGTGGGGGTGGGGGTGGTTAGAGTGTTTATGAATTGAGAATGACACGATGCAATCATCGGGAGTTTGGTCGGATTTGTGGACCCAATCAAGGAATACAAATCCAGTAATTTTTGTATAAAATGCTGCATTCCACAATACTGAGGTGATGGAATAAGGTATGCTTTGATAAAATTATTTTGGATGATTCTATTCTCCTTTTTGGGAAAGCAAATGACCAATATGTCCCTTGCCATTATAATAAGAGAAACCCAATTAAATTTTACCCTACCAGTCCCTTATCATATGCAGCATCGACATATCTCCTCTTTCCCCAATCCTCCAGAAATTTTTTGGCACCAAAACCAAAAACTGTAACAGCTTTTATTTATTCCTTTATCAATTTCTTTGAGTTTTTCTTTTTCATTTTCTCAACTGTGATAGTCATGAGCAGCTGAAAAGAGATAGTTCAAACTAAAGAAATCTTTTGGGAGTGTGAGTTTTGTCAGTGCGAGAGATGAATTTATATTTATATGCAAGGCTATAGCTAGGTTCTTCTCCTTTGATTACATTAAATGGACTGGGGCTAGGGATGAATCAGCCCTAATTTACAATCTGTTACGAGCTTTTTTGGGAGCTGTGTGAAGTATAAACTCGTAGCTAGAAGCTCTGAAACCAAGAAGTCTAGGAAAAAATAAGTCGATGATCCAGT